TACTTCACCATCATCTACCATCAGGCTCCTGTTCTGCCCAAATGTTGGCAGTTTCCTGGAAGTTCCATTGGACAACATGCCTCCAAGCCCTTGTCCACAAGGCTGCTTTCTGCTCTCAGTTCTGAACAACAGCCAGCTCTGGTGACTCCTCCCGCCCCAGAAAATCGGCACCAGGGTCCTCTCTGTCCTGTCCTCAGCCTCCAGGCTGGGCCTGTTTGCACCTGTCCACCTTGTCCTGGAGGTAGCCTCTTGGCCTGCACCCTGACCCCTCCTTTTCTGCAGGTTCCTCTTGGTGGCTCCAAAAAGACTTCCAGCCAACAATGCCATCCTCGCTGGGTCCCCCGCACCTGCCCTCCTTGGACCCCACGGCCACCATGGAGGAAGCTGAGGCATCTCGCCTACGCTTCCGGGAGTTCTGCTACCAGCAAGTGGCTGGTCCCCGTGAGGCCCTGACCCAGCTGCGTGAGCTGTGCCGCCAGTGGTTGCGGCCCGAGGTGCACTCCAAGGAGCAGATGCTGGAGCTGCTGGTGCTGGAGCAGTTCCTGGGCGCGCTGCCCCCTGAGATCCAGGCCTGGGTGCAGGGGCGGCGGCCAGGCAGCCCTGAGGAGGCTGCAGCCCTGGTCGAAGGCCTGCAGCGTGATCCTGGGCAGCTGCTGGGCTGGGTGAGTATGGCTAGTTATGGCTTCTGGAAGGACGGGGCGAGGCTTGAGCTGCCATGACTTGACCTTTCCCCCTCAGATCACAGCCCACGTCCTGAAGCAGGTGGTGCTCCCAGCAGCACAGGAGATAGAGTCGTTGGGGAGCCCCCACTTTTCACGGATAGTGGAGCCCCTCGGGGAAGCCTCTGGGGAGGGGCCGCACGATGCCCGGGTGGAAGGGTCTGCCCAGCTCAGCTGCAGCGTGAAAGAGGAGCCTGATGCTGATGTGCACGACACGGGTGAGGGTGGGGCCGTGCTAGGCTCCGGGCTCCTGGTGGGAGTGTGGGTGTCCCCAGCTGGGACGGGGACCCAGAAGGCACTGAAGACTATAGAGCTGGGAGGCAGGAGGAAAGGCTAGCTGGCTGCATGGCATGTGACTGGCACATACCATGGCCTCTTCCTGCTGGCAGAGGAGGGCCAGGGCTGTCACACCAGCTCCACCTCTTCACCTGCCCTGGCTCAGGTGACTGATTCCCATCTGCCTCACTTAGCACCCTCCAGCCCCCGAAATCCAGCCCAGCCCCACGAGGGGCACCTTGGACACGGGAAAGTGGACTCCAAGCCCTGCCACCCACCTAGGATCCAGGTGAGCAGCCCAGATGGGAGGAGAATGTCCTGGGTGGCCCCCTCGCCCTGTCAGTTTTCTAGGCCCCTTGGCCCATGGCTTTTTGCTGCTGAGAGTGGAGTTGGTATCAGGGTGCCCTGCTGGTCCTGTGAGACAGAGGGACAGCCCAGTCGTCTCTACAGTTAGGAAAGGTTTTAGAAAACTGGGTTTAGAGTGACCGGAACTGGTAGGGATCGGCTTCCTCACTTACAGAGAAGTCAGCCGGGGGTTGCAGCTCCCAGCAGTGCTGAGCTGGTACCTGGGGATTTGAACCCTTCTGTGTAAATGGCGAGAGGACAAGATGACCAAACTTGGCAGGAAAGCCTGAGCACCACAGAGCTGTCCGGCCTCCCCAGCACACCTGACCGCAGAATGGAGAGGCTCTTGCTAGGAAATGCCCATAGCCACCTCTCCAGTGGGCGTGGCAGCTCGGCCTGACGCCTCCTCCTACTTAGTGTGGTGGGCGGGGGTCCCATCCTCTCCCAGCAACTTTGCTCCAAAGCCACTTTACTCGGAGCATCCCAGCAGGAGAACTGGTCGAGACGTGCTCGGGGCTGAGAGGTGGCACAGGAGGAAACGGGTAAGTGGCAGAGATACTTTCCAACGCTGCCTCACCTCCAGCCGGCGCCATCCCAGCTGTGGCTCCATGCGGCCACCACATCCCTGCCCTTGGACCCCATGTGGCATGTCTTTCAGGACTATTTTTTCTAATCCAGCAAAGCTCCACCCAGATGATGGGATTCTGGGAGGCCAGGAGGGCAGATTCCTTGAGCAGGGAAAGCCCGCGGAGCTCACCCCCTGGCAGCATGTGGAATACACCCCGCCCACACAGTCATGCGTCTGGGGTGGGGGATGCACTTCCTCATGCAAGTCCCACAGCAGCCAGGTGCCCAGTCGGGGTACTGGCGGCCCTCCCTCTGCGGCTGGCTCCAGGAGGGTCTCTGTTATAAGAAGGGCCCGGGGTCCCCTGAATCCCCTGGCATTTCGCTCTCGGTGCGGCACACAGTGCTCAAGGCAAGGGGGTGAGGCCAGTCACATTCATCCCTGTCTCTGCCTCCCCCAAAACCCAAGGGTCCTCAGCTCAGTTAGTCGGGCCAGAACGTGGGGTGCGGAGGCTGAGGGGGATGGGTGCGGGCAGCCTCCGCCAGCAGCGCGGGGCCAGGAGGGAGGGCGCGGCAGTGATGGGCCGCGTCCCTGCAGGAGGAGTGGGGGCTACTGGACCCGTCACAAAAGGAGCTGCACTGGGACGCGATGCTGGAGAAGTACGGCGCGGGGGTGTCCCTGGGTGAGGCTCAGCCGCCACCCCGCCCCGCTCTGCTGCTGGTCTCCCGCCCTTCCCCGTGCACGCTCGCCTGCTCCGTCATTCCCTGGGGAAACCTGTGTCGCCCGCCACCCCATCCCTCCTTTGTGCCAGCCCCTTCGCCTGTCCCCCTCTTGACACCTGACCGCCCCCCACCCCAGCAGGGTTACCGCGCCCCCCGTCGGACCCGCATGGTGTGTTAGAGCTGAGGGCACCGAATGAGGGGACCAAGAGCCAAGGAAACCTCCCCCCGGGTGAGTCCTGCCTCACGTGACACAAGCCACCAGTTCTCGGGCGGGCGGGAGCTTGTGCCACGCACACGTGGAGCAGTCGGGGGGCGAGGGCAGGCCGACATCCTGCCTCCCGGGCCACTGCCTCCCCTTCTCCCAGGAGGTGAGAGCAAGAGCCGCCGCAAGGGTCCGCCCGGCTGCCCTGATGCCCCGCCATCCTGGGCGAGCCCGTCCGGGGCCACCGCCTCCGTCGCGTCCACTCCGCCGGGTGCTGCGCAGAGCAAGCCCTACATGTGCGAGCAGTGTGGCCGTGGCTTTGACTGGAAATCGGTGTTCGTCATCCACCACCGGACGCACACGGGTGGGCAGGGCGCGCGGGCCCCAGTGCTGGCTGTCGGGGGCACCAAGAAACCGCCGCAGGGTCCCCGAGAGCCGGGTGCTCTGCGCCACCCCCGGCGTGTGCCCCCGGGCCCCAGGGGCTATGCATGTGAGGAGTGTGGGCGCAGCTTCAGCTGGAAGTCGCAGCTGGTCATCCACCGCAAGAGCCACGCTGGCCAGCGGCGCCACTTCTGTGGCAACTGCGGCCGCGGCTTTGACTGGAAGTCCCAGCTGGTCATCCATAGAAAGAGCCACGGACCAGAGGCCTCTTGAGCAGCTGGAGAAGGCAGCCTCACTTTGGTGGCCTTGGTGGCCTCAGGCCTGGATGAAACCCCTGCTCCTGGGCCTCAGTCTGGGAGGTTTGGAGGCAGCAGAGGACACAGAGTGAATCCAAGTTTCCAGGAGGGTCCCGTCTCCCCTGCAGTCTGTCCCCAGAAGCCACCTCGGTGCAAGAAAAGAAGCTGCTCCCTTCTGCCTCCTTCTGGAGTGAGGCCTGGGTGCGAATCCACCACTGACCGAGCTCCGATCTCCCCGCCTGTGACGTGATGCAGGTTGATGACTCTCTGTACCCCTAGGACCTCTCTGGCCGCTGGTGGATGCTCAAAATCTGCCCCTTCTCACCCTTCCTGAAGCAGCGGGATCCAGGGTCTCCATGTAAAAGGTGCAGAAACCCCAGGAGAACACAGCCTGCTTGTTTGCAGGCAGATGGAAAACTCATGGCCTTCCACGTGTACTGTATGTTTTTAACGAATTCCATTTTTCTAAAAGGGAAGTTTCTGCCTAAGAATCCTAATTCTTGGCTCTTGTTGGTCACATACGCAGTTACCTTTCTTCCTGCCTGGCAGCTGATCCACAGAGCATCGCACCCACGAGAAGATCCACCAGTCCTGGTCCCTGGCCTACGTTACTCCTGCGCCGCCCGCATCACTCCCCTGGCCTCGTTGACCTTTGGCCTTTTGAATCACAGCTCGGATGGACACTAAGGGAACTTCCTTTTCAGGTATGGGTGGACAAGGGTGGTCTCTGAGAAAAAAGGCCACGTACACCTGCAGGTCAGGGCTGCATCCCCACAGCCTACACCACTGGCAGTCACAAAGCAGGATAGCAAGGGGTCAGCTGCCTGCTGCCCACAGAGTCCATCCAGACTCCTGGCCAGTCATTCGGGACTTCGGTCTGCACTGTATCAGTTTCCTGTCGTTCTAATAAACTAGGTGGCTCGAAACAACAGAAATGCTCTTACGGCTCTGAAATGGGTCTCACTGGGCTCAAATCAAGGGGTCGGCAGGTGAGGCTCTTCGGGGAGGCTCTAGGCCCTTTTATTGCCTTTTCCGGCTTCTGGAGGCTGCACGTTCTTTGGTTTGTGGATGCTTCTTCCATCTGCAGAGCCAGCAGTGGCGGTGAAATCTTTGTTACGCTTCCCTCTCTCTCTGATCGTCTTGCCTTCTCCATATAAGGACCCTTGAGGTTACAATCAGGGCTCACCTAGTAACCCGTGGTCATCTCCCTCTCTCAGGATCCTTAACCATATTCTGCCCACTCCCCCCCTGCACACTTGAGTCATCTGGAAAATCACTTTTCTAAGTGAGGAAATGCAGCTTCCAGTGACCTGGGGCTGGTACTAAGCGCCTTCTCATCTTTTTCTTACTCTGGAAACAAGGGGCATTTTTGTGGGCGATGGTTTCAGGAAACAGGTGCATCCAAGGAAGGAGCCCACTGCAGCCTCTGACAAATGCAGGAGCGGCAGGTGGTGTTGAGGGTTGCTGTGACCATGCTTACGGAGGATGGGCTACCTAGAGGGATCACGTGGGCTGGGGGAGATGACCTAGCTGCAGCCAGAAGCGAGGAGGGGGACGTCTCCATCGAGGGGAGGCCTTGCCTCTTCCATTCCTGGTCTTCTGAGGACCTACTGACCTGTTGCTCTCACACTGGGGCCTGGTGAAGCATGGCCGGACCGGAGATGGAGCTGTGAGCAGGTGGTCTGGTAGGTGATCAGGAAGTGAATCTGCACCGGAGACTTGGAGGACGGTGGATCCGTGTGTCCCTGGTGGATCCTCTTGTTCCTGGTAGATCCTGGCAGCCCTTCTGGACCCTGAGGCCACTCGGACTATATCCGCTGACCTAGGCCCATCAGAATCCACAAAAGACCAACAGATGGAGTCAGCACTCTCCACCCGGGAGTGGCTGTCAGGCTGCTGGCTCCTCCCGCACCCCTGGCCTTGCCCAGACAGGGCCGCTCCTCCAGGCTAATTGAGATCCTCAAGGCCCCGAAGTATGGTTTCTGGAGGGCAGTGGGTCCTGCACTGCTCGCTTGTTTCTCTATCCACGCAGACATCTCTGTGCACATGGAGATTATTCTTGCTTTGTCGCCGAGCGCAGTGTGGTCCTGCTCTATGCAGCTGGGATTCATGACGACTCTGTGTAGGTTCACGGTGGAGGTGACACTGTAAGTAGAAGGGGGCGTTAAAAATAAAAACTCTTCCCCCCCAAAATAAATAAGCAAATAAATAAAATAAAAAGGCTTCCAAAGGGAGAGGGAACAAGCATTTATTGACGATTTCAAAAAAAGAATAGCCCGTTGGGAAGCACTGATTAAGGCAGAAGCCTAAATAGTGTTCCGATTAGGAGCCCAAGGCAATGGGTGTTTATGAGACAGGAAAGGGGAATAATTACATCCATAGAAATAAGGCATTGCTATTGGTGCAGATGACATAACATAATGATGGTAATTCTAAATGTTTTAAATTTTCAGTCCCGTAGTCATCAGACCAGTAGTCATAACATCTCCTTTCTTGTTAACTTTGCAGTTCTTTGGAACACAAGCATGTGTTAGTCCCAGTCCAAAGGTTATTTAACCCTGTTTTAACATTCCAAAGGTTGGAGGTATAAGACGTGCAAGTAGTCTCTCTGGCCCCATTTTAAAGTGGCTCTGTTCATTGTTTTTTTGACAGTGGTCAACATTGGGCCCTGCCCCTTCAGGTGTCCTGTTGGCTGGCCAGATGGTCAGAGTTTCCAGGTGCCCTCACACACAGCCTGGTATACATCGGGCGTCAGGGGCCGGAAGGCCTGGTTCTGGTCGTCCAACACGAACAAGGAGTCAGCAATGACGGCCACATTGAAGCCCTCTCGTACCAACTGGGACTTTACCAGTTTGAACGTGCTGGTGATCTCCAGGGCATCCTGCAGAGGCAGTGGCTGTAACCCCGACTGTGACTCCCACACCCAAGACCCACCCACCTACCACGGCCCCCCTGAGCTCACCTGGATACGGATGAAATGGGGGACAGCGTAGGCAGGGAGCCAAGCGCGGACGTGCTGGTACAGCCTCTGCCCATCGAAGGTCTGCCCGGGGGCCAGCTGCACAGCGGCCATGCCCACCTTGCCCTCACACCCTGGGAAGCATACCAGTCACTCTCGGCCGACCCGCTTCGCAGAGCCCACTGACCCTCCTGCCTGGCCCAGCTTTGTTCACTGGCTGTGCCCCAGCAGCTCGCCCACCTGTAAAACCAGATTAACTCCCGCCCTCAAAGCTCTCGGAGGTTTTAAACAGGTGAACCTTCCGCACCTGGCACGGACACACCGTAGACGTTCACCTCCTGCAGGAAGTCCACCAGCGACAACACGCCCTCCACCTCCCGCGTGGACACGTTCTCACCCTTCCACCTGCGGGGCGGAGCCCGTGCGTGTGACCACGCCCCTGGCGAGGGCGAGGCCCAGGCCCCACTCTCGCCTACCGAGCCCCGCCTCCTCGGGCTCTGCCCAGCTCCGCCCTTTCGGAATTGAGAAGCCCCGCCCCTGCGAATCCGAAAGCCCCGCCTCCCTCCGGGATCGGGAAGCCCCGGTGCCCCGCCTCCCAGGCCCGTTCCTAGAAGCTCCACGCGGACCGGAAGGTGTCCCCGAGGCGGTCTTGGAAGTAGAGGAAGCCTTCGAGGTCCATGGAGAGCACATCCCCAGAGTTGTAGTAAATGTCGCCCGGGCGCCGGACGTCCCTCACCAACTTGCGTTCGGACAGCTCTCTGGGCCCCCGGTAGCCCAGGAAAGGGCTGCGGCCAAGCACTCGAGTCAACAGGAGCCCCGGCTCCCCTAGGGGCGGGAGCAGGAGTTGGGGCATTATTAACCAAGGGCAAGAACCTCAGAAGCCCAGCAGCCCCCGCTGGAGCTTCCCAACAACGAGGGACTCCATCACCCAGGACCCTGCCAGTGAAGAGAAAGAGACCCAGACAAAGAGACTGGGAGATGGGAAATGGGAGGGAGAGACAGAGATACAGGGACAGGGAGACAGAAAGAGAAGGTGGCATGGGGGGCCCAATAAAAAGAGGAAGCAGACAGCCAGGGATGGACAGGACAGAGATAAATGGTGATGGGTGCCAGGGATGGCCAGGACAGAAGACCCTAGGAAAAGATAGAGGACGAGAGATTGATGCCTGGAAGGACGGGGCTTCCACAGAAAGCTCTAGAGAACAATTCAAATGGACACCCAGACACAGAGCAGAGCAAGAAAATGAGGAAGGGGAGCTGAGCAGAGAGGCTGAGAGGCAGAGGGTCCCAGACAGGGTGAGAGCTGCCAACACCACCACTGGGCACTGACCTCAAGGCTTTGCATGGCTTGTTCCAAAAGAGGAGACAGGGTCCCCACCCTTCCCACACCTGGGAAAGGTACCCCGACCCCCATACCTGGCCCCACAGGCACACAGAAGCCTTGCTTGTCCCTCACGGGCTCCGTGGCCTCCATGTCAAACCGTACAAGCTCGAAGGGGGTCAGCATCTGAGTGGAGGTGGGGAGGTGTCAGCAGAGGCCCTGTGGGCTCAGCCTCAATCAGGGCCACTGTCACGCCAAACCCACTCACTCGAAGGAAGCGGCTCATCTTGCCCACGGCCCCGCGGCGCCCTGGATAGTTGATGAAGCCAGCGTTGCCTTCCGTGGACCCGTACATTTCTAAGATCCGAATGGGGCCAAAGCGCTGCTGGAAGGTCTCCCACACGTCTGCCCGGAGTCCGTTGCCCATTGCCAGGCGGACTGTATGTGTCCGGTCCTCTTGTCGCTGCAGGGACATCACAATGAGGTGACGTCAGGCGCTCCCAGGAACCATTTCCTGGGAGGGCAATCTCGGGCCCTCACCTGAGGAGTTACTTGGGAGGTGATGGGGGAGCGTATACCTAAGGGATCTACCTGGGGTTCTTACTTGAGAATAGTTACCTGGCATCTGCGCGTAGAGGGTTTCCTGCAGAGGTTACCTGGGGGTGGAAGGAATTACCTGGGAGCCTTACCAGGAGGGATATCTAGGGTGACTGGAGGCCTCATCTGGAGTCTTATGTAAGGATAGATAACCCCGAAATTTTTGCCTGGAGGGGTTATTTGGGGGGCTTTACCTGGAGATCACCTGGGGAGTTACTTAGGTGCCATACTTAGGGGCAGTTACCCAGAGACTTCCCCTGAGGGCTTACCTAGAAGCTTAATTTAGAGGGAAACCTGGGCACCTTGTCTGGAGACAGTTCCCTGGGGGCCATACCTTATTGCTCTATAAGGATGAGGCGGGCTGACATCTAAGGAGTTGGCCCTGAGCCACACCCCGTTCTAGGCACTTTGCATATGTTTCTCATAATAAACCCTTGAGGTATGATCCCCATTTTCCAAATGAGGACACTGAGGCTGAATGAGGTAAAGTCACCTGCCCAAGGAAGTGCAGTTGATCGTCAAAGAGGCCATGAGTGGAAACCTTGTATGGGACTCAGTATATGTGGCTCTTGCCCAGGGTGTCTTACCCGAGGGACCTTGCTTGAGACCTATCCTTGAATCTGCCTGAGACTTTTACCTGGGATGACAGCTGGGGTTTCATACCTGTGGTATTCACCAGTGCCCTAATCTCAGCCCCTCACCTGAGGAGCGTTACACAGGTACCGCAGGACCTCGCCCACATACTGGATCACAGTCACACCATGCTGCCGACAGTCACCCCAGAAGCAGGAGGTAGAGAACTTAGGGGCCAAGACACAGGTGGCTCCTGGGAGGGAGGAGAGGAAAGGGTTTCAGGTCATGCTGCCAAGACACTGCAAAAAGCTGCTTTGAACACCTGGCTGTAGCCCCTTGAAGTATGAGATGATATCGGTCTCATCTCTGGGTTCCTGGCCTGGTCAGGATGGCCTTCATGAGACAAGCACATGCAGGCCTCGGGTTGAATCCTGTTTCCAAACGTGTGGAAAGCTCAGTGTTTGGTACGAAGTGAACACTGCTAATTAGGGGCTGTGGATATTAATTCTCTCGAGTATGATAAATGTTTTATGAAAGTTTAGCTGAGCAGATGGATAGGTGGGTAGGTAGATAGAAAGGTGAGTGAATGGATGGGTGCGTTGGTGGATGGATGGATGTTCTGAAGGATGAACACGTGGATTAATTAATTTTAGGGGCCACTACATTCACTCCAGGAAATTGATCCCTTCTTTTTTGATCCCCTCCCGTATACCTGGCTCTGTGGAAGACACTCTCCTTAACCCTAATCCTCAACGAAACCCTGCAAGCAAAATATCCCTGCACCCAAAAAGGGACAATTGTTCATGTACTTGGTGAGTGGCAAGTTTGTGTCTTCTTTGAGGCTGTATGTTTGACAGGGAGGTAAAAATATAATGCCCTGCCTGTGAGAATGGGTGCCGAGTCCTTGAAAAGGACAGCTTTGTTTGCAACCCCTAATGAAACACCTGATTCAAGAAAGTTCTTCGAGATCTAGGAAAACCAAGGAAAAGATTGATAGGGAGTTTTCCAATTAAAGCTCTGCAATTCATCATAGCCTCTCTTAGGTAGGATGTCAGTCCTGAGCTGCCTCCAATACTATGAATTAGGAAGCACAATACACCACAGCAAGGTTCTTGCCAAGAATAATTGAACTGACTCTAACAACATCTCTAGAGGGACTATTTCCAGTCAAACAGGAAACCCAGGTAAAGAGAAGCAGAAACTAACTGTAAAAAGACAATTAGATAATTGGGGAGATTTGAACATGAAGTGCACATCAGATGATACTAAAGAGTTACTGTTCCAAGACTATACTTTCAGGGATCATTTCTATAATTTGTTACTAGAGAAGTTTCTCTGAATGTGTAGAGCATGGCACGGGGGACAGAGAAGAGTCACTGTTCATTTCAGTCCTCATGGGTTAGAGACACATACTGCAATAGTTACAAGCAAAACGATACACTGTCTAGGATTTGATGTCAAATGATCCAGAAAGAGAGGACACAGTAAATAAAATTGGCAACATGTGAACAATCGAGGCCTGGTTTAAAGACAGGCGGGACTTCGTCAAACTATTTGTTCTACTTTTGTGTATATTTTAAATTGTCCTTGATAAGAAAAATCTTCGAATGAAATATGAGAGTTAAAAAGACAAGTGAGTCTACGGCCACGCCACCCTGAACGAGCCCGATCCCGTCTGATCTCGGAAGCTAAGCAGGGTCGGGCCTGGGGAGTACTTGGATGGGAGACCACCTAGGAAGACCTGGTGCTGTAGGTGTAAAGAATAAAAAAATATAATAATAATAAGGGATTGTAAGCTGACAAGGTCCTTGCAATCTGTGAGGTCAACCAAAGGTTGCCTCATCTAAAAAAATTTTTTTTTAAAAAAAGAACCGAGAGCAAGGGGAGAAGTGATAAAGGAAACAAGTCCAGTAAAATGCTGATGGTGGCTGAAGCTGGGTGGCGGGTACATGAGGATTCATGTGGAAACATTTAGAAATTTCTATGTGTTTCGAAATGTTCATGATAAAACTTTGAAGGGAAAAAAAACAGACTGTGGCGAGGTCCCCATGTGGAGTCCTATTCGGGTGTTCAGGGAGGTGGCCTGATGGAACGCTTGGTGAGCATTCTCCCACTGGCTCCTCCGGGGACAAGAGCTCCTGTGAGTGACTGCTCTCACCAGCTCTTGTCACCTCCTGACCACGACACAGCCACTAGGGACTCTCTGGGTATCCCAGCCTCTGTTCAGGAAGTTCCCGGGGCTCTCTCCTGTGCGTCTCTCGTCAAAGGTAAGAAGCCGGGGTGCTGGGTAACCCGTGAGGCCTTGTAACCTTGACACCCCGACAGCCCCACCCTGATATCCAGTCTGGCAGCCTCATGGGTTGGAGGGGTCCTCAGGGAAGGGCTTACCAAGCTGCAGGCAGCTGAGGACCCCAAGGACAAGCCCCATCACATGGTACAGAGGCAAGACGGTGTAGACCACGTCATCAGCTGTGACCCCACTCATGGACAGCATGCTGCACATCTGTAGCACCCGTTCATGCGTGAGGATGGCCGGCTTCGGGAGCCCTGGAGGATGAAAAAGCAGCAAGGGTGGGAGGAGCGGAACAGCAGCCTGAGGGACCAGCCCCGACCGTGGGTCCGCATTGAGTTCAGGTCCGCAGGGTCCTCAGAAGGTGCTCGAGTATGGGGATTTGTGAGTAGATTTAAGGAGGTCAAAGTGGGTTAGGGGTTCAGAGGCTGAACCCTAGAGGTCAGTTAGGGTGTCAGTGGCTGTTTGCAATGAAGAGGCAGGATTCTGGCACTGACCGCTCAAATCTCGTGGGGCCAGATGTCTCAATCAAAGCTCCGAGTGGGTTCAGAGGTCCAGTTTGAGGCACAGGTCAGGCTTGGGGTCAGGTGAGCATGAGGGTTCAGAGGTGGGGGCTAGGGCGGCCGGGTGCCCTCACCGGTTGTCCCTGAGGTGTAGATGAACAGGGCAGGGCTCCGCGGTGTGATCCCAGCGCGCAGGTAGGCGGGCACGCGATCCCGAGGCGCAACCTCGAGGGCGGCCCCCAGACCCTGCACCCCCGGCGTGGGTGAGGACCGGCTGAGGTAGAAGCAGCGGATGTTTTCTGCCTGCAGCTTGGGAAGGACCTCCTCCAGGTTCTCCCGGAGGTCTGCAGAGACAGGTAGAGGGAAAGCCGAGGCAGGGCCCACCGGTGAGGTCCCCAGGGGAGACCGGAGACCCAGAGACGAGGGAGAGGAGCCTGCTGCCGGCCGCAACGCAGCAGTTCTTCGGCAAAGAACCTCACAATTAGTATTTTTTTGGGGGGGAGGGAGGAGATTGAAATAGCCATGGTGGAGAAGAAAACAAAACTGTGGTGCACCTAAAATTACCTTCCAGCCGCTAAGTTCTACTACCTGGGGGGACGGCTGGGGAGGAAGGCGCTCGCTGCCCAGCCCCCATCAGGATCCTCTGAACGGCGGTCCTCTACATCTGTCCCCTGCCCCACTGGCGTCCGGGGTCCTCACCTGGATCCACCACCAGCACCCGAGCCCCAGAGCTCAGCACCGAGTGAGCCAGGGGCGCCCCGCGGATGTGCGGATTGATCCACGCCACTGGGCAGCCCAGCTTGGCCAGCCCCAGCCACAGCTCCAGGGCGGGAACGGGGGCCAGCGCCAGGAGGGCGGCAGGCTCCCTGGTACCCAGAGCCGCGGGGCGGCCCAGCTCTGCCTTCAGGGCCCACGCCGCCCGGCAGGCCTGGGCATCCAGCTCCCCGTAGGTGAATGAGCGGCCCGCCGGTCCCGTGCACACCAAGGACGCGCGGCCCGGCTGCGCCCGCGCTAGCCGCTCAAAAGTATCCACGAAGGTGTCGGGGGGCTTGCGGCTCAAGCGCACCCAGACGGCCAGGCCCACGCGGAGGATCTTGACGACGAAGGCCACGTCGGCGGGCAGCCAGCGCAGCCCCGGGGGGAGCTGCACGGGCAGCAAAGCCAGCGTGAGGGCCACGGCCACCAGACTCAGCCAGTGGGGCATCCAGGGGTCGAGCCAGGACCGCGCCAGCGCCGCCAGGTCGAGCAGCACATCGCAGGCGGGGTCCCCCAGGAGCCAGCGCAGGGGCACAGCCACAGCCGCGGGCCACGTGGGCTGCCCCAGGCCGCACAGCAGCAACAGCAGCAGCACCAACATGGCGAGTCGCAGCCTGCGGTCCATAGCACCCGCTCAGTCCTCAGATGAGTGTTTGCTCAAAGCTCATCTCTGCAAGGACTGTCCGGACTCCACCTCCTGCTCCGCCCCTGGAAGCGGCCCAGCCGCCAAACACTGCGCTCCCGGTCCCAGAACTCTGCGTCCAGCCTCTCCACTTTCGATTACGAGTGACAGTCGATATACTGGTTTCCCGTGTACAGCAGTAGTCAGTCATTTATATAACTGACCAGGTGGTCACCCTTAAAGTCCAGCGCCCACCTGGCACTATGCATGGTTATTACCGTATTACTATATTCCCCGTGCTGTACTTTACATCCTGTGACTATTCTGTAAGTGCCGATCTGTACTTCTTAATCCCTTTGCTTTTTTCACTGAGTCCCCGAACGCTCTGCCTCCAGCCCTTCTTAACACCACCTGTCTGTTTAGGCCTCCCTGGTCCTCCCGTGGCACTGGCCCCTCTGCCTCTGTGGACACCTGCTGTGAACCAGGCATGGGGGAACAGGCCACAGGCAGAAGCGGTTCGCGAGTGAGGCAAGGGAGCTCCAAGCACCGCCTGCTGCTCTTCACACCTCACCTAGAGGTTCTCTTGTGACACCCACTTAATCCGAGGGGAAGACACGGCTTGCCTGGACTGAGCCTCTAGCCAGGTATACAACAGGTGCTCAGGAAATATTGAAAGGAATAAATGCAGTGTCTGAATTCAAACCCAGTTCTGACCCCCACCCCTGTGTGCTGACCCTGTGGCACCCCTGGCACTGGAGGGTGCTGTCCTTGGGGTTCAGAAGGCTGAACTCTGCTGGAACTCTGCATGGCAAGACCTCTCACCTCTGGGAGTCGTGGGGGTGGGGTGGCGGCTTCAGAGAGGGGCTGCCATTGGGGTTATGTTAGGGCACCTCCCTCCAGGCTCCATGCCCCTGGATCCGCCCCAACCATGAGGGCAGGGTTCCCAGGGTTACAGTCACTCTGGGCTGGCAGCCAGATGCAGCACCCTGAGACACCAGCTGCCACAGAGGCACGCTGTCTTCAGCCATCCAGTGGGCAGTCCGAGGGTCCTGGCTGCCACACCCCACCACCCTAGCCCAGCCTTCTAGTACAGGTATCCTGGGGCTCAGATCCCCTCATGGCAGCCTGGCCCCAAAGACATCCTGGGCCCCCCAAGAGTAAGGAGCTCGACAATTATGCCCACCAGAACAGGTGAGAGCAACTCCCCTGGGGCTCAGATCCCCTCATGGCAGCCTGGCCCCCCCAAAAGTAAGGAGCTCGACAATTATGCCCACCATAACAGGTGAGAGCAACTCTGAAATCCAAAGGACTTGGAAGATCTGAGGGGAGAGGCCTCAAAATCTACATCTGGGACAGTTGCAACTGTCATTAGGGTGGGGTCCCACACAGGGCCCCCTCTGAGATTCATCTCATAGGGGGCTGGCTCTACCCCTCCCCACAGGACCTGGGGCTCTAGGAGTCAAGCACCACTCATATGCGCACCCCACTCTTGCCCTGGGAGTGGAGGCACGAGATGACTAAGTGGCCAGTCCTGTCTTTGCCCAAGATGGGGAGACAGGGATGTTGACCAGGGGCAAGGGCGCTGAGCCCCAGTGTCCACAGCCAGTCTGTGAGGCAGCAATGCATGGGTTTGGGCCCCATGAGCCACAGTCCTTTATTACAAAGCAAGGGTCCCAAGGTCCAGTCCCAGTCCACGATGGATCCATCTGAGACCCCTTAGGAGCCAGGTGAGGAAGGGGTAGCTCGGGTTGGGGTGCAGGGTCTCCCCCAGCCTGACACCTGGTAGAGAAATAGCCCTAGACCCCACCCCACAAACGAGAAGAGGCAGGTCACAAAACGGAGTTGGAGCCAGGAATCCTGGGTCCCGCCCACGTCTGAGTGCCCAGTTCAGGCTGGAGATGATCCAGTTCTCAGAGCTGGCTGTGTCCCTGACTGCCACCGGCCCCGGCCCGCCACGACATGGAGGGCCCGCGGAGGAGGAGTAAGGTGGGTTGGGTCCCTGGTAAGTGGGGAAGAGGGTGGAAGCAGGGGAAGGGCCTGTGCTCGGGGGAGAGCGCGGTCTGGTGGTGGCAACGTGGTCAAGGTGCCTTGGCAGTGTGCCCCGGGAGGTTACCGGTCCTGCAGTCGGTGTGGCCGGCGGCAGGGGGCACGGCCAAACCACTCGGTGGGCGTGGCCAGGCCCGGGCGAGGATCAGGGCGCAGGGTGCGCGGCCAGGTGGCGCTCCAGCAGCGCGCGGTGCGAGAAGACCTTGCCGCAGGCGGGGCAGGGCGCGCGCTCCGGCCGGTGTGTGCGCATGTGCACGTTGAGCGAGCTCTTCTGCGTGAAGCGCTTGGCGCAGACGGCGCACTGGAAGGCGCGCACGCCCGTGTGCGTGACCATATGCTTGAGCAGGTAGTCGCGCAGCGAGAAAGATCGCCAGCACACGGCGCACTGGTGGGGCTTCTCGCCTGCGGGCGACAGGGCAGGCCGCGCACGCACGGTCAGCCGGGCGGGGACCCTCTTCCCTTCCTGGGCCAACTCTCAATCCAGAATCCCTTGCGCGAAGGGACACTCCCTCCATTCCCTGACCTTATTGCTCAACAGGGATCCCCACGCATGGGCTGGTGTGTCCTGTCCCTTCCGCCCAGCTGGGACATTCCTCTCTCAGACCCTTACATTCACACCAGAAGACCACTGACTGTCGGGGTCCCCCAACTCTAACAGGTACCCTCTCGGTATGGATCCATGCGGGTATGGGACATCGTTGCCCATCGAGACTGACCACTCGGGTCTCCCCCCTCATCCAGGGACCTCCCTGCCCTGATCCTTGCAGTGCCCAAAGAACATCCTGAACTCCGGTCACTGGTCGCCGTGCTAAGGACAGCCCGGCCAAGCCCAGCACCTGTACAGTGGGAGACCTGGTCTACTTGCCCCTTGTCTGCCAGAGTCAGAACCCCTGCCTGCTGGCCACTCCAGTGACCCCAGGGGAAGGAGCGGGCTGCTCCTCACTCTGGATCTGAGAAGGGGCAGAGGGCTGTGTTGGCCCCGAGAGTCACAGGTGTTAACAAAAGCCTGTCACAGCACAGAGGCAGATGGCGCAAGGCGGGTCCTGGGAGGGGGCTCTCCCAAACCAACCCGGCCTGGCACCCGGCTAAGGCCCCACAAAGCTGGGAAATTTTGGCTGGTACTACCTTGGGGTCCCTGCCCTCTTTCCTTTGTCCCCAAGGCCGCCAGACAGATGTTAAACTAAATCACATGTACGTCACGTCCCATCTCAGAACGCTGATGCCCTGCCCACCATTTCCAGTGAAATTCTAGCTCTCTGGTCCAGCAGACTCCCCACTCCACTCCCAGGGCCTTCCAGCCAAATATTTGCTTAACATCCAGCCTGGCCTCTGGCATTCCATACCCGTCCTTCACCTCAGTCCCCAGGGAGCACCCCACACACTCTCAGGGCCAAACCCATGACCTGCCATCACCTCTGCCCCTCCCTCCACAATCCCCAGCCGCCACTCACACACTCTGCTTCTCCCGCAGCGGCTGCTGAGCTGCCTCCCTGACATGCAGATGTCCCCACCCGCCTCGAGGAGCCCCATTTCTCTCCTCCAGCCCTGATCAGGGCACCTCTCTGCTGGCTTCCCATGCTTTCCCAAGGACAGCGAACCCACTCTCTTCTGCACCCAGTTCCGGTCACCGCTGACATCCTTGTAGACCCAAGAGGGTCCCTTCGGCACAGCTTTGCAAACTGGCCACGCTCCCTGACAAGGCTGCACCCCTCCTGCCCACCCCAGGCTCCACAGCGGTGACTAAAGGCTCTGGGTAGGTGCCCGCCCTACAACTTCCCCCTTAGGACGCCCTCCTCCCCCACTATCAAAAAAACCCAAAACAAACAAAAAAAAAAACCTCGAGGTAGGCGAAGGGCAAGAGTGCTGCCCACAGACTTCGCACTTCGGGCTCAATTTCCAGGGTCCCCAGAGGTCACCGCCCCTGCCCAGTGCCCAAGCCTGCCTCAGGTTTGGCTCTCCAATGACCCAGGGGCTGAGACCCACCCTGGCTCACCGGAGTGGATGAACATGTGCTTGGTGTAGTTTTTCCGTGAGCTGAACGTCTTGCGGCAGTGACTGCACTCATAGGCGGGTGGCTCGGAACCCGGGGCGCGCACAGGGGTGGCCGCAGGGGCGGTGGCAGGAGCGGCTG